AAAAAGTTAAAAACAAAACAACTGGACTTTATTTGTAACTGAAGACGTTTCGCTCCTCATCCGAGGAGCTTCCTCAATTCAGTGATCAGTGAGTGTGGGACTCAAGTTATAACGCTGAGGTGTTCTGTAAGCTTGCATAATGCAGATTGACACATGCAGATTGACCTCTCACTGTTCACAACAGAGGATCGTTAGGGTCGTTGTTAGTCCCACCCACAGAGGGGCCACCCTGGTCACATGATTGGAACTCCTGATAGGTGTGAAACTGGCTGGTTTCAGTCCTGAAGCTGCATTATATGTTTTTGAAAGTGGAAATCTGAGGCCTCCTCCTCTGTTTAAAGATGGTTTCTCTCTTTTTACATAAACAACTTCCTTCACCCCCCTCTCAAACCATCTGTGTTCTCTGTCCAAAATATGGACATTCTGTCTTCAAAAGAGTGTCCCCTGTCCATGAGATGCAGGTGAACAGCTGAGTCTTGTCCAGAGGAGGTGGCTCTCCTGTGTTGAGCCATGCGTCTGTGAAACAACTGTTTGGTTTCTCCAATGTAGAGGTCTGGACAGTCCTCGCTGCACTGGACCACATACACTGGACCACAGACACTGGACCACAGACACTGGACCACAGACACTGGACCACATACACTGGACCACTCTGTGTTTGGGTGTTCTGTCCTTAGGGTGGACCAGCCTCTGTCCGAGGGTCCTGCTGGGTTTGAAATGTACTGGGATCTTGTGTTTGTTGAAGATCCTTCTGAGTTACTCTGATACTCCAGCAACATAACGGATGACAGCTAGTTGAGAAAGCTCCTCGGATGAGAAGCGAAACATCTTCAGTTACAAATAAAGTCCAGTTGTTTTGTTTTTAACTTTTTGGGGGGATCTACCATGACCTGGATGACTGAGCATCTTCACCAGTTCTGGGTCAGGAGTTCTGGAGAGTTCTGGGTCAGGATCAGGCGTTTTCGTTCGAGTTCATGCTTTTACTTTGAAGGCAGTTTCCGGAAGCCGTCGCGCGTGCGTCCTTCCGCGCTCAGCGAACATGGACGTTACGGAGAGGCGGCAGCAACCATCACTGAGCGGTTCTGGACCATGATTCTCTTTGACTCCGGCCGGACAAACCAGCTCAAACGAACAGGTACCGAACCCGCGTCTTTGGCCCGACCCGGTTCCGAGTCCCGGTTAGCCGCTTCGCTAGCTCTGACGAGGTTTACCGGACACCACGGTGCGCCTATTATCGGACACGCTTTCGGTTCGGCGTCTGGGTTTTGGAGGTTCTGGACCATTAAAAACTACCAGAGTCCATTTGGTCCGGTTCTGGAGAGCCTGGGTTAGTTGCTGTCAATCAAAAAATATGTAATTTATTTACGATAACGGGGAGGAACTCGAATTAATGACAATAAATAAAAACAAGGCGACGTGTGTCCGGTAATGGAATCCTCTGGTTCCTGGTGACCGTCACTCTGACACCAGGATCCAAGCTCAGGCCCAAACCCGCTTCTGACCCGGCTGGTTCTGACCCAGACCTGGTTCTGACCCAGACCCGGTTCTGACCCGGCCTTAAAGGTTGAAGGTCTGCGGAGAGCAACGGAGGTGCGTCCGATAATGGAACCAGTGTCCGGGTCTCAGCAGCTGTTGAGGCCTGCTGTCGGAACCGAACCCCCTGACGGGCCCAGATCAGCCCTGCAGAACCTTCCATGGTTATCACGTGACGAGTTCCACACGCTGCTCCACAAACAAGAACTGAACCAGACCAGGTGTTGGACCCAAAAACTGATGCCCTTCAGGGACACCTCAGGTCTTTCAGGGACACCTCAGGTCTTTCAGGGACACAGCAGGTCCTTCAGGGACACCTCAGGTCCTTCAGGGACACCTCAGGTCCTTCAGGGACACCTCAGGTCCTTCAGGGACAC